GCGATTTTGCGTTGGTTCACTATAAATGTCTGTTTCACTTTTCAAACTGTTGCCACCAAATGTTAGAGTCCTGAATTATATTTGAAGAAATTAAAAAATGAAAAATCTACATAAATGTATGTATATTTCTCGCATTGTAATAAAACAACGGTACATAGAGCTATCGAGTTTTGAATGACGTAATCCTACTGCTAATATAGGCATGTGGAAGGCCAAATTTGAAATTTGGAATTTGTTTATTATTGATTTCATAGTTTGTAAAGCTTTAACTAATTTTTGATTAACAAACTGAAGGATTTCAAAGCGAGCAATGGCAACACTCTACGGGGGAGGGAACTTTTTATCTCCAGCCAGCTCGCGGAACTGTGTATCGAAATTCTAAAGATAGGCTCATTTTAAAATTATTTTGCGACACTGCTGTTGAACTGAATTTTATGGTTTAAATGCAAAGAACATGTATTATTATGTATGTTTATTTATGGTTTAATAAATAAAGGCAACACACAGAACGTTAAAAAAAGTCTCTTTGGACGTAATTTAAAATGTGAAACTTTTCAGATTTTGTTTTTATTTTATTTTTTACTGTATTTTTGTTGTTGTTTATTATATTAAATATTTGTAAAATTTAATCGGCAAATTTGTTTATATTATACTGAGTACCAACTTATAATTCTTCTGAATTATATGTAGCATATGAATGCAAGTTGTCTTTGTTTATGAAATACTGCTGCTATATGTACTCTCTGATTTTTTTAAAAAAAATATACAGCCCAACACCTGCGGTGGCGGCTGTTGGATTGTACTTGATCTCATGCTGAGTAAGAACTATTTTGTTTGATATAAACCTTAGGTCAGAAGCCTGCTTGGTGGTGATAAATAAATAAATAAATAAATGGGCATCAAATAGAAGGTCATCTCCATAATAATAATAGTAGTTTCCAGGCTGAATTGTCAGTTATAAAAGTAGCGATTGAAATAGCCATTCTAAAACCTCTGAAGGAATTTAGCATAAAATCTGACTTCTAAGCAGCTATTTTAGCGATTAAGAATACCTTACTTTTCTTCCCATTGATTTTTGTCATAAATTCTCTTCTTGCTTAATTCCAAACTACAAAATTCAAATTTCATTGTTCAAAGTACATAATGGCCATTTTGGTAATGATCAGGCAGATGAATTAGCCAAAGAAGCAACTCTTAATCAAGATGGTATTGAAATCACACTTCCATGGCCTTGCTCAAATTTCAACTACCAACTAAAACAACTTGCTTCTTTTGAATCTCATTGGGAAGATTTGCAAAATAATGCTTCAGAGGGATGACGCACATATAACTTGATTCCCAACGTATGCTTTACATCTCTGTACTCGGATCCTTCATTAAATTACTATATAACAGGACGTCCCTTAGCCGAGGATAATCACATAAAATCCCTAAAAACTGATTTTCTGGTATTCCAAAGGTTACTAATTGAAGACAAACATCGGTATCCGAAGTTTCAAAAAATTTCAACTCTTCCTACGGCCTAGATCTTCGTCAAGTATAAGTTCTCATACTGCATAAACTTAATGAACATTTACAGCCTGTGAATACGTTCAAAAGGATTTCATTTGTGAACTACATAAACCGTAGGAACCTTTTATCACTGCAATAACTCCGTGGACAAATCTAAGTATTATTATTATATTTCCTTATAACACTGTGTTTCTAGTATTTACTGTATTTATCTCATTATGTTTATCTGATACTTCTTATGTTTATATATTATTTTTGTTACACCAAAATAGATGCTCAATTTAATTTGTGAATTTCAAATTGTATTGAAACTATATTGTAATTCCTTTATGTCCTAAATCATTATTTTATTAAATACTATATGTGGGGTGTACGGTGGGATTGCACGATCTACCATAATAGGTAAACTCTAAATCCTTTAGAAAGCTTCAGTTGTTCATTTTCTCAACCTTCTATGTAAACTCTTATAAGGCTTACAAATATTTTTTAGAATTAATGTGGGAAGGCATTACCAGCTGACCCTTAGTACATCGCTGATGTCTGCATACTTTTACTTGTACCTGTACCTGATGATTACTTATCCTTCTTTCCCTGCCATCACCCAAATGAGAAGATTCGTATTGATCGATTTGAAGTATTTCACTAGGTGCAACGATTACAACTTTTAACCTCGCAACCGACATGTATATAGTTGCAATTTATTGCGACCCACGTGTAGAAAGATCCGACTAAAGACAAGAGGAAAATAAAAAGCGATTCTTAGAAGAAAATAAGGTTAAAATGAAGTTATAAGAATAAAATTTAATTTATTTTAATTACAGGCAATTAAATTTTAATTAAAAGTAAATATATATAATTAATGCAAAAGTGTATTTTAAAATTTTTTGCGACTCATCAAAAATTGTTTCCCAATCCACTGGAGTGTCGTGACCCACACTTTAAATACCACCAATGGCCATCTTCTGCACGTTCAAGGGCCAATCTAAGATATGTCTTGCGGTCGCGGTCCATATGTACGTTTTGTAAATATTAATGAATATGTCCAAAAGTGATCAACATATCTGTTGTTTTAAGATTCAAGAAGTAGCAATTCCCATGAAGGTAGTCCTGAGGTAATTAAAAGTAGGAAAAATAGAGATTAAGAATTTCAGCCACTAATAATAAATTTTGTTAGTCTAGCTACGGCTACCAGTTAGTCATCACTGAGCCTGCCCCCTATTCGAACACAGGCATGTTGTGGTAAAAGCATACAATATAATACAATAGCTCCTTACAATAGACATCCTGCTGTATCACACACAAAAATAAACACAGCAATAAACTCTAAAACTAAAAACAATTCAATTGAAGTATTTACAGACGGCTCAAAAATTAATAATAAAGTTGGCTGTGTAGTCTTTATTCCCAAGCAAAAATTTCTACAATCAAGTATTATATGGAAAGGATTCTTAAAAGATGCAAACAGTGTTCATTAAGCTGAACTTTCTGCGAACTATCAAATTAGCAAATGAAAATAATATTATAGAGTTAAATTTTAATACTGTCAGTCAGTCTACCATCTATGCTATCTCTAACCCAGAAAATCAATCTTCTATTGCTTATGACATCAATAACCTCTCTAAAATAACAGATAATTTAAAAATTCATATAGCATGGATAAGAGGTCATAGTTGAAATGCTGGTGACGAAACAGTCGACAAACTTGCCAAAGAAGCTGCTCTTAATCAAGAAAGCAATTTTCTCTATATAAAATTTCCCCAAATCTTATCTTCGACTCTCCACAAAAGAACAAACTACTCAAATATGGCAAAAAAAATGGAATAACGCATCTACAGTACGACGTACTTACCAGTTCTACCCCAAATGCAATACTGACACCAAGAGTACAAAATCCCTTTTAACATGTTATATTACTGGCCATGGGCCATATCCTATTTATTTTCATCAAAGAAACTTAATAGACACTGACTTCTGTATATGCGGTCAGAAAGGAGACGGTGATCACTATCTTTTCTCATGCTCTCTCACGAAAAATTTTCATATTCGTACACCCAGAAATACTGATATATCCTTCAAAAAGAATGATCATCAAACTTCAACATCTTCATTCTAATATGAAACAAATTCACCAAAAACTTAAAACACTTAGATCAAATCTATGCAGAGTAACCCCATTTACAACAAACGAAATATAACAAAATATTTAATTTTCGACCTTGTAGAATTTTAAAGATCAATTATCGATCTTTTGTAACAAATACTTACTTGTACTGATCGTAACAACAAAAGCCTTACAAAATCCAGAATAAACAAAATGAAATATAAAAACTGAGTCAGGACAGTAAACTAGAACTGAAAAGGTGAGTCATAATATTGATTTTCTATGTCATGATAAAAATGAGCAATGAATATTGTATGAGTCATGTAAAAGATATGAACTTAAACCATCAACTTTTTATGAACTCATGAACACTTTAATGACTCATGAACTCTGCCTAATGAATACTGAAAACGATTTGTAATCATGAACTCTAAAATACAATTTTATTCTCTTCTACATTTTATACTTCTATTTTATTAATTTGTGTGATACATCATGTATTATCCTATATTTTAGCACTTTATTTAAAATTTTTAATTTTGTTATATGATATATTGTGCACTATTCTATACTTTATGTACTATGCTATATTTTCTATATTTTAAGTATTATTCTGTATTTGTCATGATTTATTCTATGTTTTAGCATTTTATTCCGAATTTGAAATTTTGTTATAATGACATATTATGTGTTATTGTATATTTGATGTATTATTCTCTATATATTTTTTCTGTTTTTTTTTCTTTTTTAAGAATTATTCTAAATTTGCCATATGATATATTTTATACTAGCTTAATGTAAAACTTGTTTTATTAGATTTCCCTCCATTCCCAACGGTACAAAGTTTCGAGATCTGGTCTCATCCGGTGGGCTAATAATTGATTTACTCACTACACAGTAACCCTTTTTATAGTTTTCTTCTTTTTCTTCTAAATATCGTTCCCCCTTTCTGTCCTCCTCTCTTAATAATAAACTTCTAAATCTCCCTCAAAAGAACTATCATCGGCTTTATTCGTCTTCTGTCCTTCCCTCCTTGCTCTATTCGGTTAGTGATTGGGAGCTATGCCTGTGCAATCTTTAATGAAGTTCTGGTGCTCCCAACACTTTACCTGTACCTGTGGCAAAAGCCTCTGCTAACTATTCTGTACTCTGGGAGTTATAAAAAGCATGAAATTTTGAGCACTCAAACAGTTTATTTTTTCTGAGTTTTGATAAACATATTGTTGAATTAATCTGTCCCTTACAAATGACAATCCTGCCGTGCTCTCAGGATCTTGACGTTAACGAAGTAAAAATTTGCAATTCAAAACCTCCAAAACTAACACAACTCATTTCGCTTTACAGAAATTTATTTCGTAATAAATGAGGAAAGAAGAGTTGTACCTACAAGGCTGCAGTCAGCTCCGAATCCAAGCGCATGATGTGCGCTCTGCATTGGAAAAGTTCTTCTGTAGTCTCCGCCAGCCTGCGCTCGTACTCGTTAATTATTTCCACAACTCTGAAACCGAATTTAATCAGAAATCATTCTTTATATTTTATTAAATACCAGGAATATATATTCAAAGAATTAAAAATTATTTTCGAAAACTAAAATTTCAACTCTTATATAAAATCTTCTCAATTCCCATTTTCTTTCAGTAATTCAAATTATTCACTATGCAATTTTAAAATTAAATTAATAAATTCATGAATTGTTTACAAATGGTAAATTATAAGCTTTTTGCTACTTCATGTTTAGGGTTCTAAAGAAGTATACAGGCTTTTAAGTTTCTTATGGCTTACCGACCTGTTCACCTGCATAATACAAAGGATCTAAATCTTAACTGCTTAAATAAGATATAAAATACAATATTTTTAATCGAAAAGCAATTTTTTATTTAAAATAGGCCTTTCCTAATCGAATGCATACCACTGTAAATAGTAAATTTATATATGTTACCGGCAATATACAAAAGTAGGCATTGTATAGAGTGCTTCGGCAATATAAAGAATACAGAAAAGTGGATTTCAAAGTGTAAAATGATTTAGTACGAAATTATTAATACTTAACACGTTTCCTAGAGATAGAAATACATAGAAATGCAGTGCCGAAAGACAAATCGAAAAAGTATGAAATACTCCTTCTAATTTCACTCTCGACGCTTGCCTTACATGATTTACGTTTCAATCTTTCAGAAGTAATAAAATATGCTACTTTGAATTTTTTCAGCGGAGATTCTAGCCCATAATGTGCTTTATGAAAATAGAAGGTGTAATGTCCGAAAACGAAATCATTGCATACTGATATGCCATGAAGTGTTTAAGGAAAGTGCGAGCCTCTTCTGAAAAAAACATTTTCTTAACCGAAACTAGTCACCAGAAGCTAATGAGCGAAGTGAACAGGCGAAGATGGCTATTAATAAGGAACCTCCACACTATTCTCTTTATTTTCCTCAAGAAAAATGTCTTATATTTTATTTTGCATTTTTACCATTTTAATGTTCATCTTTTCAATAAAAATCTTTGATTGAGTATTTCTCTTTTTATTCTTTGTGTAAATACTATTTGCCATTGCATATAATATCTAGATACTGCATAAAGTTATTAGGAAGAGTATGAGTATAACATTAAAATAACTAAGGTATTTCATACTTTCCCTAAAGCGCTAGATATTCCACATATTGCATAAACACAAAGCCAGCTTTTCGTGTATTGCTGGTAATACATAGAAACTTTCCTACATGTCTGTCTTTAAGACTGTGTCAATGTTAGGCTTTTCACCTCTAAGTCTGTGACTCTTTTCGGTTCTTAACTTCTGCCATACAGTGCCTTCCTAATTTCTAAAACTTTGCTGCTCCTAAAGCCAGGCCCAGACGAGATAGTTTTAATTCTGCAAGTTTACTACATTTATTCTTATTAACTGTTATATCTTTAACATTGTTCTTTTTGCTCTGAAATGTGTTCTTGTTTTGAATGCTGGTTTAATTTAGGTGCTAAATCAGCTTATTCTCCAAATCCCATTGCTAACAGACAAATTGTTAACAGCATTTTTCTGTTAATTGTGATTTGGTTATTCAGTTTTCCTGTGGTTATTTTAACTAGTGTCGTATTAACCGAACTTTGGACGTCTTCTCCAGTATCACCTGCTATCGAAAGTTTATTCTACATTACCGAAGGCCTTACTCTCCTTTCTTTCTTTTAGCGCAGACAAGTAAGCTGTTTTTTCTTACTTTCAAGCATTGTGCGGGAAAACGTGTGCATAAAAGTAATGTTATATTTTGTTATCTCCTTTAACACGTTATAGACAACGATTAAGGCAGTTAGGGTAAAATTTGATTTCGAAGCTAGTTCTGATTTCCTTCGTCTTCTGTGCGCGTTGTGTTAGATTCATTTACTTATATCGTAGTAATGTGGGAAATGGCCATGCAATTGTGATTAACTCATATAATGCTAAAGCGCCATCTAGATGAGCGCATAGATAAGAAAGCAGACGACGGCCGATGTAGATGTTTGACGCTATTATGATTATTCTTCTTTTTCTTTCTTATCCTTTTATATTCATGTAAATAAATCGTAATTTAGTAATAACTTGATGTTTGTTAGTGATGTTTTTCCTATAGGAAGCAAACAGAACATGATATTTCCCTTTCTTAGCGTCTCTTTTAATGCCATGAATTGGGGTTTCCCTGGCAAATTTTTTAGCTACGAAGGGCTCACACCAGCGGCTGAGCGATGAAGTTGCTGAATACTGGTAGCTGGCAGAGGGCTTACTATATGGGCGTTTTCGTGGTTTTAGCCATGTGTAACGTGTATACGAGCCAGTTTTCCTTAGAAAGTCCTCCACGAAGGCATCCCTCCCCTTAGGCACATAACCCCTCGCGTGCTTTGGCGTAGTCAACTAAAACAAACAAACCACACTTTTGAGCTAGAAAAGTGACTTCTGCTAAACCTGTTCCGGAAACGAGAACGAGGCTAGAAACTTCGTTCTATGCATCAAAGCTAATATTCACCTTTGGCCCGTTTTTCTGTAGAGTTTGAAATACTTATTCGTGAAAGGAAGTCTTGAAATGAACCTTCAGGCTACTAGCATACCTTTTATGTCAAATAAAATGACTTCTTAATGTTAATGAAAAAGGTCATATTTCTTTTCATTAGAAAACAAAATGTTCTTTGTGAAGCAAGGCTGACAATTTTAATATTTTAAAAATGTATTGTTACGAATTTTGTGCTTAGATAGTTCATTTAGGTAAAATTATAAGTAAAATTGTTGCATTTCTTTTGTATAACATAACATGTAAAAATCTTAAGAGCTGAGCTATGCGGAAAATTAAGAATACGTGGGCAAGTCCATTTAACATTGAGTAAGTAGGTATCTCGGTAACTTGGCAACATATCGCCAAGCTCACAGCGGTTTTATTTATTTATTTTATTTATTTTATCACAGCGGTTTTTACTTATTTTATCGCCAAATATGGCGAGAAGTCGTCAAACTTAGTGACATTTTCCTCCGATCCCTGTATTACCGTAATAAGTATTGTAATTGACTAAATGTAATTGATCACTATATTAGCTGCAACCGTAATTCGACCTTCATATTTCTTTCCACTAATTTCGAGAAGCAGAAAGTACTAGAATTACCTCGGTGGCCGATTGAAAAGCTATATAAGGCCGGAGAGAGCATCTGCTCTTAGTTGTTCTTATTGTAATTGATGCGAGTTGTTAGTTTAGCGTGAGATCGGCGATATTTCTGGGTTAGATTTCTCTTTAGATGCGCTTTGCATTGCGTTGTCCTTAAGGTTCTTAAAAGTTTGAAGAGAAACTACTCTCTATGATACTGGGAACAGCTGTACGATTATTTCTTAGGAAAATTTCAGAACTTTGAAGTGTTTAATTTGAAAAAATTAAATTTTATCTACCTATCATCGGATACGCGTTCATCCCAATCTATTACCAACCCGTAAGCACGTAACACTTTTTTGTATCAGGAGTGGGTTGAATGTGAGTGACAAGAACGCTGGAGGAACGATTAAGGCAGTTAGGGGGAAGCCTTTGCTGCGTTCAGAAAAAAGATGAAAGCTTGTGAATAATCCGTTAAAGAAGACAACCGCTCAAGGAATGATAGAACATGTCCAAGTATCCGTTAAAAAGGCGATGAAAGTCGTTTAAGAAAATATGGAAGCTGGTCAATGAAGATAAAGCTGGTCAAGTATCTCTTAAAAGAGAAATGAAAGCTCTTCAGAAATCTGTTAAATGCAGAGATGAAAACTGCTCAGGTTAAAGAAGAGACGGATTCGTTACATGAAAAGATTGAAGCAAGTCAATAGGAAATGAAAAGAGAAATTACCTGCATAACAAAAAACAAATTCGAAGCTATGGAAGGTAGAATAGATATGGTTGAAAATAGAGTTGGAGAAATTGAAGAAAGAGTTTCTTCCATCAATGAACAAATCAAAGAGAGAGTTTCTGCCGTCAACATCTTAAGGAAGTGCATAGCGACAGCAGGAAGTAACTCTAATGGTTTTAGATCTCTTACCCATGCTATCTCATCCTTCTCCGAAGCTATTCCCATGTGATAATAAGACCTCCTTGCAGGTATATAAGAAGTAATTTCTTATATACGGACGCTTGACGGAAGCGAATAGATGGATTCCCAAGCCAAGTTCTGTCATCTTACCGCTTTTCTGAGAGCAGGCTCAGGGGATGTTCTTCAGATTCTTCCTGAAGACCAAAGACTAGACTTCGAAACTCTATTCGACGCGTTGAAGTTGCGCTTTGGGGTAAAGTGTTTAAAGGACTACAACAGACTTCAAATAAAATTTCGTCAACAGATGTCCTCGGAAACACTCCAGAAGCTCGCCACGGATGTTGAAAGGCTGTCTCATCTCGCTTTTTGGGAATGCCCGACAGAAAAAATTTAAATCCTCTCTCTGAAATACTTCACCGATGGCATCCGGGATACTGGAATACAGAAGGTTCTGCGAATAGCGGATGTGAAGGATTTAAAAAGCGCTCTGGTGTATGCCATGAAATTCGAGGCAGCCCAGCAAGCAACTCGTAGACACCACCACTCAATTAAAGCTGCTTATGTCCAGGAGAGAGTGGATAAGTGACTGCTGGTTTAGACGATGTAACCAGGCAAGTCAATTCCTTGGGACGGAACCGGAGTGACAAAAAACCGACTCTGAAGTGCTGAACTTCGGTGAAGGGCACGTATGAAGGAATTGAACACCCTTGAGCACGAAAGCAAATACTGCTTCCAGTCAGAAGGAGGGAAACTAATTATTTGCCATCTCGGAAGGCGGGGTTTTCCAAATAATGAGAAATCTCATTTTAAAGCGCTACAGATTTCTGCAATGAGTGGCACCAGTAATGAACTCATTATCATGGGCAAATCAATGGAGTTCCGTGCAATATGACCATCGATACAGAAGCCAATATTACCAAGGTCCGGAAAGATTTGGCTCAACAACTGGAAGGTAAACTCATTTGGGCACCGCTCTGGGTTCGCCTTCAGACTGTGTCCGGCGGGAAGATCGACATCGACCGAAGATTAAACATTAACATCACGTTTAGAAATGCCGCTTACCATCGCACGGCATATGCGGCAGAAATTACAGATTCTTGCGTACTCGGATTGGACTTTCTAAGGAAATACAATTTTTATTTGGACTTCAAAAAAAACGAACTGCATTCTGCCTCTGATGACATAGCCTTATTCGGATTTAATATTGAAAGAGTTGGATCTACCCCCGAAATCATAGCTCAAGACGATATCCCAATACCGGCAAGAATAGAATTTCTACTTTCTGGATCTGTAGCCGAAAACAGAAATTTGCGGTACGTTTTAATGTAATATTTCAAGATCTCTAATAGCCCGCGGGGTGTACTACTCGGCATTCGTCGACTTATCGAGAACAGTTGCCCCAATGAGAGTTGCTAAGAATTTCAAGATGTTTTCACCCGCTCGTCTTCTGATGTGGTTCGAACCAGTTTGACACAGCATAGAATCGATACAGGGAATCATCCACAAATTAAGCAACATCCAGCACGTCTACCAATTGGTAACCAGGAAGAGATAGGAAAACTTCTAAGGGACATGCAAGAAAGCGAAGTCATTAAACCTTCAGCAACTCCATGAGTATTTCCCTTCATCCTGGTCAGAAACAAAGAAGCTTTAACTAGATTTTGGGTTGATTATCGCAGGTTGAACGATGTTACGAAGAAGGAAAGCTACTCTCTTCACAGAATTGACGGCATTCTGGATATTCTTTCTGAAAGCAAGTAGTTTTCGACGCTTGATTTAAAGAGTGGATATTGGGAGGTAGAGATGCATCCTGACGCCATGAAAAAGACAGCATTTATTACCGGACAAGGACTTCGGCAGTTCAATGTGATGCCGTCTGGACCATGCAATACGCCGGCAACATTTGAACGTCTCATAGAGACTGTTTTAGAAGGTCTTTCCAACGAAGCCTGTCTAATATATTTGGATGAATCAGAGTTTTGAAGAACAATTAGAAAATCTTGGAAAAGTGCAGAAACTGAAAGAAACCAATCTGAAGCTCAGCCCTGTTAAATTCGAAATATTCAAACAGGAAGTGACTTAACTTGGACATGACATCTCTGCCGAAGGTGTGTATACGGATCCAGAAAAGGTGTCAACAGTTAAAGAGTGTAGACGGCCCGAAAATTTCCATCAGCTGAAAAATTTTCCTAAGGCATTGCACCTACTATAAGAGATTCGTGAAGTACTTTTCTTCCATCGCAAGATCTCTTCACAAGCTGACAGAGAGCAAGCAAAAGTTCTTGTGGACAAATTAATGTGAGGATGAATTTAACGATCTGAAGGAGGCTTTAACAGCTCCTCCAATCCTGATGTATCCTCAGCCCGACAAACCATTTATTCTAGACGCAGATGCGAGCAATGGGAGTGTCGGTGCTGTTTTGGCCCAAGAAAATAAACGTTCAAGAACGAGTCGCTGCCTACTGGAGCACGTGCAACCGAGAAAGGAACTATTGATTCTAAACCGAGAAAGGAACTATTGTGTCGCCAGGAAAGAGTTGCTTGCCATAGCTAAAGCCGTAGAACATTTCCATCATTATCTATACGGCGGAAATTTCCTGCTCTTCAGGGATTATGTATAGTTGATCTAGAATTTTAAATTTAGAGAATCCTGAAGACCAAAGAGCCAAGTGGATAGAGAGGCTCTAGGAATATGGCATAGTCAAACGGCACCGGAAGGGATCATCACATGGAAATGCCGACGCTTTATCTAGAAGACCCTTCCCAGGAAGCTGCCTATATTTCGCCAGCGTCGAAGCAAACTACGAGCTGCTGAATCCGGTGACACGACAACTTCAACATTACATCAACATCGGCTGATCGAGAGCCATGGAGTGACGAAGAAGTCAGGAGAGATCAGTTGGAGGACAGCGGCATTAGATCCATGATTAAATTAATGGAGTCTTCAAACAGGAAGTCACCAGGTAGGACATTTCGATCTACGACAAACAATATTCCTACGACAAAACAATATTGACTTCTCTGGGACTCACTCCATATTCGAAGCGGCGTCTTCTACCGGAAGTTCGAATCGGGTGATGGAAAGATATTCCGATGGTAGCTGATATTTCTCAGACATCCTTATAGAATTACATAGAAGTGCAACAGGAGGCCACTTCGGAATAAAGAAGACGTTACATAGAGTTTGAGAGTACTTCTACTAGAGTAATACAAAGGAAAACGTACAAAAGTAGTCCAATCATGCGATGCCCGTGCGACGTTGTCAATGATTACTTCTCCAGGTGGCCTCAAGCGTAACCTGTTCCTGATCAAGAGGCTGTCGCGGTAACAGAGGTTATGATACAGCGTTGGATTTCCAGATTTGGAGTACCTCTTCAGTTATTCTCCCATCAATGAAGAAATTTTACCTCGGCTGTTATTAAAGAAATCTGCAAGTTACTTGGCATCGACAAAGTCCAAACGACACGTTTACATCGTCAGTCAGAGGGTATGGTAGAAAAGTTTAATCCAACCATCCTTAAGAATTTCTCCCTGATGTTTTCCAGAAATCAAAAAGACTGGGACAAGGAGTTATCACTCTTCTTACTGGCCTATTGCAATGCTGTCCGCGAGAATACCGGCTGTTCCTCATCCCAGATACTCTCTTCTGTCGTTATCTTCATCTGCTTTGCGTTTTTCTTTCTTTGGTCGCCCTCCGAATGCGCTTTCATCACATCAGGCACTACTCATGATCCATGATCCATGATCTCTAGGCACGGTTTGAAATGACGCACAATTTTGCACGAAAGTGAGTCAACTTGGCGACGGACACAATTCGACACAAGAGCTACATGACATCGATTCAATGCAGGAGACAAGGTTTGGTTGTAGAATCCGATTCGACAGAAGGGACTCTCTCCTAAACTACAGTCACCTTGGGATGATCCTTGCAAAGTCCTAAACAGGCTGATCGACGTCGTAGTTCGTATCTTTAAATCACCGAATTCTAAGCCTAAAGTCGTTCATTACAACAAGTTATCTCCTTACTATGACAGTAGTATTTAGTGTAAATAATGTAAGTAGTATACTAAGACCATGGTCCTATTTATTTCTAAATTTGTAAATTTGTGCACTCCTTTAGTGATTTAGTACATTGTATATTATATATTGCAATTATTTTTTAAGTATTGCATTGATTTTCCTTAGTTGTAAGTAGGGCTCCCCGTCCAGGGACTTTACTGCCTAGAACGTGAGTCCTTTGGAATGGGGCAATGTTGTGAATTTTGTACTTAGGTAATTTTAGAGAAATTTTAAGTAAAATTGTTGTACTTCTTCTGTATAGTATAACATATAAAAATCTAAAGATAAGACCTATGCCGGAAAAGTAAGAATATAGGGGCAAGTTCATTTAGCATTGAGTAAATTGGCTCGGTAATTTGGCCAGATATTGCCAAGCTAACAACGGTTTTGGCGACTTATTTTATCTTCAAATTTGGTGAGAAATTGCGAAAAGTTCGCCTGGTCTGTTCCCTCTTCCACCATAATAGGTATAGTAATTGAATAAATGTAATTGTATCAGTATATTAGCTGCAACAGTAATTCGACCCTAATATTTCTTTCCAGTAATTTCGAGAAGCAGAAAATACTAAAAAAATCTCGGCGGCCGGCTGAAAAACTATATAAGGTCGAAGAACTGCTCTCAGTTGCTGTTGTTATTATTGTTGCGAGTTGTTAGTTCAGCGTGAATTGGAGATATTTCCGGGTTAGCTTTAGATGCGCTTTGCACTGCGTAACGTTCTTATCAGTTTGAAGCGTAACTACTGATTGTACTCTGTAATACTGTGAACCACTGTACGAATACTTATGCGGAAAATTCTACAACTTTGAAGCGTGTATTTAGAAAAAATAAATTTTATTTACCTATCATCGGACCTCTGTGCATTCCGTCTAATACGAACCCGTACGTACGCAGCAGTATTATTACAAAAAATTGTTAAATAATAATTGTTAATAATTTGTTTGTTCTGGGTTAATATGTACACCAAATTATTTTCTAGAAATAAGTCATCACTATTAAATGCAGATTTTTCACTGAATGTATTTCTTTCTTTGACAGTTCGTATTTTAGAGCAAGATTGAGTTTATTATTCAGAAGACAGTAAATAAGTTTTATTTCAAGTAGTCCTCTAAAAAAATTTCGAATGTTACCTTCTTTTATGATCCTCAATTTTTACTGCAAATTCAGACCCAGATAATTCTCCAATTTCAATGTTGATCTAAAAGAAACTAAATTTTAAAAATTGGTACTTATAATATTTTTAAACATTTGGAAAGGAAATATTGATTTAGAACATTTTTTTCCTCCTTGCATAATACATTACTTACGACATACTTTATTTTAGCTGTGATAGTTTATTCTAAATATGTTTTAAATTAAATTAGAATAACCGCTTTAGATATGATACTCTTTCTCATCAATATTATTAGATCTACCAATTTTTTATTAAATGGAAGATTTATTTTTCGATTGCGTTTCTTTCACAAAAATGTTTTTAGCTCAAGTATGTTTGTTATTAAAATTGATGATTATTACTCTAATTCTGTAAACAATTGCAAAAATATAGGGTGTCCACAAATATGCTATTATTGCGAGTACCTTGTAAGAGGTAGTGCTGTAAATGTTTGTAATGTTATTACACGTATATCAAAGTTTTCTCAGCTATTTGTTTTGGTTTAATTTATGCAGAATCAGAAGATTTGAGGATCCGAAAATCCTTATGCTACAAGGGAGTTGGAGCGTTACAACCCGAAAGTGAATGTTTTGTGCGGGATGCTTCATGACAGGATTTTTAAGATCATTTTCCTTCAATGAACCAACAGTAACATACAGAAGTTACCTCAATACATTGATTAAATACGTTTAACTATCAATGAAGGATTATCAACCGGAGGTCATTTTATCGCATGTCGAGATGTTGTAGTTTGTGCCACTCATCACAAAGCTTTTGGACTTTTCTTGTGAAAGTGTGAAATGTACCAAAGGCATAAGTTGTTCCATTCCCAAACAACAAACTGTCAAAGTTGTTCAGTAAGTTGGACACTCTTTTTTCTCTCTTATTCCATAAGAAATGCCTTCTTAAAGACCAAATGGGTTTAAGCTGTGAAAAATCATTTTCTGTAAAAGACTGTGCAGCAAAACGCGTACTAACTTTCTTGTAAGAAATTGCAATCTTCATGCAGTAAATGCCATTATTACTCCTGATTCATTCTAAGTTAAAAACTTAACGCTAATTCCTTTCTATAAACATCAATCCCTGATTGTGTGGTATAAGAAGGTACTGCCTATATAATAGAAACTGTCGTCGCTAAAATTATTCCAGTTGTTTATGAATTTGAATATATAAATGAAGAAAACACAAGGATTGTGTATGACGAAAGATAAAAGGTTTGTAAGATTTTATCACAGTAAGGCATCTTAAAGCAGTGACTCAACAAGATCCACTTAAGCAGCGCAAAGAAGAGGTTCAAAACGAAACAGCAACGATTACCATGATGAGACACGGAAACCTTTGAACAACCTCTTGGCCAAACTATATGAGAAATAAAACTACATTCGAACTTTTCGAGACATCTCAGCTTTGCAGTGCATTAATCACAATTTCACAGGCCATTTTTGGAATACCCAGGACTTTCGCTTATCGAAGTATGTTTGTGCATTAGTATAGATAATCGGGAGTTTAGTGCAGTTACATTAATAGTTTCCCTATTTCATTGTATTAGTAAAATTAATAAAGTTTCTACATTTTATTGTATTTATTTCATAAAATATGTAAAATGTCATGAGATAGGACGATTGGTTCAATACTGATCTGATCTTCTTGCTCTCAGAACTGACTTGACATTACGCAGTACGGAATCAATGACTTCACAAAATCGCTCGCCAGGAATGTCGGCACCCAAACCCTGCAGCGAGCCTCATAGCTGTAACATTGGTTTACTTTTTTAAATCTGAAAGGTTTGAATTCATAGTTTATAAGCTAGTTTAAAGTTATTCCCATATACGAGATGCGTTTTTAAAGTAAGACCCGTTTTGAAATTCCAGCGAGGCAGCACTGCGGTCGCCATATTGCTCATGCGCCCTGTGTACCTACATCCGTAGGTAAGCCGTAGGCGTTATTACGGAAACTATCAACTATGTTAACATTTGTTTTTGAGTATATAAAATAGCTTTGCTAATTGAGAATACCGTCGACTGTGAAATACGATTGGTGATTTGTTTTTTAGTGCTAAAGACGTGAAAGCAGGTGAAATTCATCGTCAGGATATTAAAGAGTACGAAGAAAACATTATGTAAAATGTAATAATACAGAAATGGTCTAGAGCTTATAAAATGGGCTCACGAATGCTCATGATGATGAAAGAAGTGAGAGATTTTCTATCATTTTAGAAGATTTGGAGCAGAAATTTGACGAACGAGTGAAACAGACCAGACGCTTTATGATATTGACTTTTCGTGGGCTTCATGCAGCGTTTTGTATGAAATTGTGAGTGAACGTTTAAATTATCGAAAACTGTAGGCAATCTGAGTACCACAAATGTTGATAGAGGTGTACAAAACAGTCATTTAAGTAGTGTTTTAACTTTCATTCAGCGGTACAGTATGGAAGGCGATGATTTTTTTAAGCCAATTAGTCATAGGGAACGAAACCTGGGTGGCTTAGACTACACCAGAATCGAATCAGCAATTCATGGAATGGCGGCATTCATAATCAATATCAGAGTGAAGTTCAAGCAAATAGTTTCAGTCCAGAAAATCATGTATACTATGCTTTGGGGCAGGAAAGGGGTGTTGCTTGCGGATTTTTTGCCTCGTCTTGACACAATAAATTCTGCGCCGTATTGCAAGGCCTTAAACCAACTGCCTCGTGCAATCCAAAACAAAAGGCGTTGCATGCTGAGAACGGGGATCGTTTGGTTCGTGACAATGTTTGTCCACATGTCGGTTAAATGAACTCAAGATATCCTTTCATCGTTACGTTGGCAAAAACTTGAACACTCTCCGTACAGTCCCAATCTAGCGCCTAGTAACTACCACCTGTTTCTGCATTTGATGAAGCATCTGGGCGGTCTTCTCCACAACAACGATGATGAGATCAAAACGACCGTGTTGCAGTGGTTGTCAAATCAGGCGGCAAACTTCTATGAAGAGGCGATTCATAAACTGGTTGTACGATACGATAAATTGGCGGAAATTATGTAGAAAAGGAGACTGATGTGCTGTCGTTTAAAAATAAACTGGTAACTGTTTCAAAACCAGCTAGAGGTTCATTCAAAGTCACCGAGTCTACTTCAGATGCCTTTACTGTCTAAATTTACAGGAATTAACTAGTAAAAGTTTAAAGTTTATTTATAGGTGTTTCGAGTAACTTACTTCGATTGTGTAATCAACTATACAAGACAATAATTCATGCCTTATTTATTCCAATATATACTTCGCTATTCTCTCCACAGCAATAAAATTGCTGCTCAAAAAACATGTGGACTTAACGGTTAAATTCATCTGACCAGAACCTTTAACGTATGCTAAAGAGTAAAGTAGCAGTGCGTAAAATCCAGCGCGTAAGGGAACAAATTTGGAAATCCCGGTTTCTACAGATTCCCTAGAACGGGCAGGAGGAACATTTACAAAAACGCATACATATTCTATTAACAACAATCTAGTGATATTCTAGAACTCAAATTAATGATAGATCCGAAATTGCATTCATGTGAAATCGAATCCGCTATTTTAAATAACTTTGTTCTTAGTTCAGTTTGAAAAGGAAATTAATGCACACAGAAGAAAGAGTCAAGATTTAGTAGTCATCCGGGAAGCTCTGTATGAAGAGTTCGTTATTTCAGGTTTTGCGAGATTTGCTGAAATAAATTATTTTTACTCAAGTTTCGCAGAATTGCTTACAGAGCTGATAAATTGAAGGAAATATTAGATATTGAGAGGCTGGTGAAAGAATATTTGATTAAATAGCACATTAAATTTTCAGGTAAGCAGTCTAAACAATCTTTTTCTTCGTTGAATCATTTTTGAATTTATTGACATAAACTTTTTTTTTCTTTTCTTTACTGCGTATTTTTTGACCACCTAAAAATATCAATTTGTACTACAGTAATTTATATTGCAAACATTGTTTTGAATCGGAAATAAAGATTAACGTGCAGAAAGATTGAGACTGAAATTAAAAATTTCTTTCTTTAATGGAGATTTCCATAACTTTGCAGTGTATGTAGTATTAATTAATTAACTTTGCAGTGTATGTAGTATGAACTTTGCAGTGAATGTATGTAGTATTTTGTCGGTGGAGTGTATATACGGAGTGTATATATGTATATACAATTCACCGACAAAAGTCCGTATTCTGCTTTTCTTTTCGAAATTATTTGTCGTAGATATATACTGTCTGTTACAAACACATTTTAAATGTCACAAGTATTCATATTTTGGCTTTTTTAAACTTTCAAAAAATAAAATTTTTAATAATTACGAAATTTAACTTTTATATACTCCCCAATCCCCATACTCAAATTTCATAAAATGTCATTCTCATTATAAAAACACAATGTAAAATGTATGACTCGAACACACTAAAAATTCACCGAAATATTTAGTTTAAATGTTGAACATAATATTCAAGAACCGTACGCAAATTGAAGAGGGAAGTATTTGCTTTTGTACTTAGCCAAAAATAAAAGTTTAGAAGAAGGTTTCGTGTTAAAAGATTGCGTGACGGTGAAGAGCATATATATATATATATATTAACAAGCAAGTAGTTAGTATAATACTGTATGACCAATTTGGTCTAGAAAATGTTTTGCGCAATATGCTGCAAAATTAAGTAAATTAGAAATTGTAGTAAGCTCGCCTAAAAGTTACCAGGAGCTGTGGCTCCAAAAAAGTTCAACACATTTAAAAAAAAAAAAACAATGTCACTGAAGGGTGAGAAATAATGCTACACTAGAAAATAAACACAGTAAAATACTAAGCTTTGGAAACTAGTAATGGCAAAAAAATACAGTTAAATACCTATCGATGTGACACTTGAAAAATTAAAACATATGAAAATCAAACCAAGGAAGAAGTTGAAAACATAAACAAACAAAATCGGATAAAAATAGAAAGCGGAAATGGTAAATTAGCTGAATTCGAGGTCCAATCTGGCTTTTCAAGGGAAATATAATTGAACGTCGAATCAAGCTAACTCCATTACGCGTTTTGCCGAAA